TGTTTCTGATTTCATTCCGAACTCGTGTAGAATTTGATGCGATCATATCTTCCACTATTTTGTGCCGTTGAAAGCGTTTAATATCTCATTGGAAAGATCTTACCGAGTTCTAAAACTTGTCTTCAGGCTCTGGGTTCAAAATATCAAAGGATGATTGCGTAATTACTAAAATACACTGTATTTACGCTAAAAGTGCTCTATTTTCGCTGAAAACGCTAAATCATAGAGATAAGGCTAAGTATTTGTGACACTCATATCTTGCTGTGTGTTTATCCGTTTGGAGCGTATTATATCTCGTTGGAAAGATAGATCGGAGCTCTAAAGCTACTGTTCCAACTTCATTTACAATGCATTAATTAAAAGTTACAGTTTAACCATATATTCACAAATGTTTCTGATTTCACTCCAAACTCGTGTAGAATGTGATGCGATCATATCATGCTCTATTTTGTGCCGTTGAAAGCGTTTAATACTTCGTTGGAAAGATCTTACCGAGTTCTAAAAAAATTCTTCAGGCTCTAGTTTCAGAATATCAAGGGATGATTACCTAATTACTAAAATACACTGTATTTACGCTAAAAGTGCTTTATTTTCGCTGAAAACGCTAAATCATAGAGATAAGCACTACAAGAAAATTGATTTTTTGTGACAAACGATTTGCGACCGACATCCAATATAGTCGCAATATGTATATGAATTGAGACGATTTTCTTATACAGTCCCGAATACACGAAAACTGTTTTTGTTTTTGGGACCGCCCTAATACCCGTTCGCTATCTTCTTTTTATTCTGGCCGCTAAAAGTAATTCTAATTGGTGCCGCATCTAAAAAAATCCCGTGCACCAATATTTCTTTTGACCCTGCTCCAAAACAAATTCACTCTTTGCTAACCCTTCTTTATTTTTTCCGAAAACTTAAAACCTCCTCCGGAGAGCCCTAGAAACTGTTCATCGTAACAGAGCCGCACCCCAAAACTTTGCCGCAGCAGTAGATCTTGTTGAGTCGCCCTGCAATACCATCTTCTCGCGGTGCCGTGCAGTAGCCATCTTCTCTCCGTACAGTAGCCATCTTTCTCTCCGTGCAGTAGCCATCTTCCTCGCCGAAGGTTGTCGACCAATCCCATCCCCTAACTGTCCTGTGTCCAAAGGTAATTCCCGAGCTTTATTTTAATACTAATGGCACAAACCTTAAATTACGGAAGATATCACACAAACGGCGTTGTTTGACAATATTTTCCCCTCCATTTCCCCCTTTTCCCCATTTATACGGCTTATAATATATGTATTGAATGCTTGAATGCGTATACAAAAAAGGTTGAACATTTGTACAGAACAGTGAAAAAATGCATCCTCTGAAGCATTCCCTTATTTATCGAGATGTGGAGTGAAACAACAGTCCTTCATACAAGTCTTATAGACTTGGTTGTTGTAGAAAATAAATATCGACTGCGATTTTGAAGATTGTTGGAAAAAATGATGTATAGTGAATGTCTATGTAAAGAGAGACTGAAAGATCGAATAAATAGTGTTTCAAATTGATAAATAGGCTATATGTATATGTATTCAGTTATTCAAGTCAGAAAACCTTTCAAGAATTTGCATAATCTGTTTTTCGCTTCTAGCATGCTGACCATTCCAATGAAATATTTGCTTGATCACTCAAATTTGCAAAATGTATAGATTGCTTATTATAGTCCATTTATGAAATGCATTTTCAATCCCAGTGTGGGTTGGCCAAATAGTAATACAGTGGTAAGTATTACTTTTAACTGCATTCACACTGGCTTCTAACAAGGATGTTGTTTCACTCCACATCTCATGATTTTCAACCCAAGGAATGGCGCATTATTTAAACTTCTTAATTTGCTTGTTTCTGTGGAATCAACAATCTTATGCTGAGAGTAAAACATTGAATCTTATGCTGCCTAACTGGAGCTAGTTAATTTCTTCATTCATTCATTGAATCTTATGCTGCCTAACATTGAATCTTATGCTGCCTAACTGGAGCTAGTTAATTTGCTGCCTAACTGCTTGTTTCTGATTTGGTTTTGATAGCTGTCGGTTATTCATTCATGATTTTTTTCTATTTTTGGAGTGCTATTGGGAATGAACTGAAATGATTTAGTTTTAGCTTTATCTGCCCGTCGCTACAAGTTAGGGTTATCTTGGAGTCTTTCGACACTTTCGATACTCCACACAGCCGCAGGTGAAGACTGAAGAAGTGGGAGGTGAAGAAGCCGCGGGTGAAGAAAGAGGCAGAGAGTTTGCCACTTCGCCCAGACTTCCCTCCGGACAGAAATCGCTCACTCGCTGGTGAGCCGCAGGTTGTCATTTGACTCTTTCATCAATAGTTTCTTTCCTTGTTTGATATCTTTCCTTGTATATGAAGTACTCTGTTTTTTTTAGTTTGATATCTTTCGGTCTTTTCTTGTTACAAATAGCATCCTCTGTCTTCTATATGTTTCAGACTTAATTTTTTTTTAGTTTTTAAGTTTTTTGGTAGTAACTAGTAATTGTACTTATTATTTTATCAAGAATTAATGTGGTAAATTACATACAGAAAGATCAATCTGTCTTCACATTAGTAGTTAGTTACTCAAATGTATTCGGAGCTAAATGAAATTCCAGTTTATTACTTTCTGTCTTCACTTTATTATAAAATTCAAGTAATTAGGAAAAAAAAAGATCACATCAAAAAATTTCTGGGACAGTCTTATAACTTCTCACATTATGCAGATACTTTGATTACTTGTTCTACATAGACTTTGAAGTATGTGTGGCTGAACTGTCAACTGTGCACATAATGCTTTGGGACATTTACAGGCCACCTTTTTCTATTTGATTGCACTATCCGGTTTAAACCAGAAAACCGGACCGGAAAAACCGGAACCTAAGTACACTTCTATACTCACATACTGAAAATGTTTGATTCACAGATTACCCTTAACATTATAATAAATAATAACTAAATCCATTTGAGTAATAATATTTTTGTGTATGTCCCTTTTTAGATCGATCTCTTTCTTTCTATAATCTTTATTTCTTTTTACACAGTTTTGTGGGAGAGTTAGTTTACCCGTTATTGAAGAAATGGCACCCAATAAAGATTGGAGTGAATTATTTAATGATCGGCTAAGTGAAACATATTTGCAAGGAATTAAAACATTTTTAGATTATGCATTTCAAAGGAAAGGTGAAAAATTTGAAATTAGATGTCCATGTGTGAAATGTTGCAATACGTATTCGAAGAGTCGTGAAGTAGTTGAATTGCATTTGAAAGTATATGGAATGATGACAAACTACACCTTTTGGTATCATCATGGAGAAAGGTTAGGAGAACTTGAATCTGATACTTATGGTGACGCTAATAACGACTCTGAAGATGACATTGATGGCGAGGTGCAAGAAATAATAGAAGACTTTTTTCCTCATAGTGACAAGTATACTGAAGGTGCTTATATCCTAGAAGAGGAGCCAAATGATGAAGCAAAAAAATTTTACAGGTTGTTGCATGATTCCCAGCAACCTGTATATGAAGGATGCAAGTCCGCAAAGTTGTCAATTTTGGTAAGGTTGCTTCACATCAAGAGTATTGGGAAATGGAGTAATGAGTCCTTTACAATGCTGTTAAAACTCCTTAATGAGGATCTACTTCCTAAGGCATCTAATTGACCGAATTCTTATTATGAGGCAAAGAAGACAAATAAAGATCTTGGTCTTTCTTACCAAAAGATAGATGCTTGTGGAAATGATTGCATGTTATATTGGAAGGATGATGAAGAGGCTGAATTTTGTAAAGTATGTGGTGACTCGAGATGGGAGAATGATAAGCGTAGCGGTGAGTGCAAGTATAAAGCAAATGGTAAGAAAATACCAAAAAAGACATTACGATATTTTCCATTAACACCTCGACTCCAGAGATTGTTCATGTCTAAAAAGACATCATCTTTGATGAGATGGCATCACAATAGAAGAAAAGTTGATGATGGTGCAACTATGACTCATCCGGCTGACTCAAGAGCATGGAAGCATTTTAATGAGTTGCATAAATCATTTTCTGCAAACCCGTGCAATGTCAGACTTGGTCTTGCCACTGATGGGTTTCAACCATTTGCTAGTTCAAAGAATTCTTATAGTATTTGGCCGGTAATTCTTGTTCCGTATAATCTGCCTCCGTGGATGTGCATTGATCAATCAAATTTAATTTTATCAATGCTAATTCCTGGTCCTGAAAGTCCAGGGGATGCAATTGATGTTTATCTCCAACCATTGATAGAAGAGCTTAAAGTCTTATGGGGAACCGGAGCTGAAACATATGACGCTTCTAGAAAAATAAACTTCCAATTGCATGCTGCCTTATTGTGGACAATAAATGATTTTCCCGCATATGCCAATTTATCTGGATGGAGCACCAAAGAAAGATTAGCTTTCCCTTCTTGCAATAAAGACACTTCATGGACTAGATTACCTAATTGGTCCAAGCAATGCTACATGGGGCATCGTCGTTGGCTTCCCAGAGATCATAAATGGCGAAATGATAAGAAGTCATTTGATGGCACGAAAGAGCTAAGAGTGCAACCAAAACCTATTTCAGGTAGTGACATACTTGAGCAGGTGAAAGACCTTGATGGAATGGTCTTGAAAAAGGATGGAAGTAGAAAGGTGAAAATATCCCACAAGAGTAGAGGAGATAATTGGAATAAGAAAAGCATATTTTTTGAACTTCCATATTGGGAAACTTTGCTTTTACGACATAATTTAGATGTTATGCACATTGAAAAGAACATTTGTGATAATATTTTGGGTACTCTCATGAATATGAAAAGGAAGACAAAAGATAATCTTCAAACTCGGCTTGATTTGCAAGCAATGAACATAAGACCAGAACTGCACCCGACCAAGGAAGGTGATACATATACATATCGAGTGGCATCTTATGTACTGTCAGATGAAGAGAAGCATAAATTCTGCCTTTTCTTGAAGCAACTAAAAGTTCCAGATGGGTATTCATCTAATATCTCGCATAGTGTCAACCTCAAAGATCACAAGATTTCGGGCTTAAAGAGTCATGATTGTCATGTCATATTACAAAACTTGCTTCCTCTCGCAATTCGTGGTCTACTACCTAAAGCTGTTTATGAACCACTTTTTGAGCTTTCCCTGTTTTTCAATACTCTATGTGCTAAAGTGTTGAAGGTTGATGATCTGGAAAAAATTCAAGCTCAAATTCCTATAACCTTATGCAAGCTGGAGAAGATATTCCCACCTTCTTTTTTTGATATCATGGTGCATTTGCCCATTCATTTAGCTCTTGAGGCACTTAATGGCAGACCGGTTCAGTACAGGTGGATGTATTTTGTAGAAAGAACAATGTTTGTGTTGATGTAACACCCTAAAAAAAATTAAAATAGAAATTTAATAATAAAACAACATAAAAGCAAATCAGATATAACCTATTTGATAAAAATGAATATTTTAAATGACTTTATCAGTACTCACGTTAAATAATATTCTGATAATAAAAGTACTTTTTATAAGTCTTAGACTTTGGGTATAGTAGAGTGTACAATTACGTGTACAAAGTTAAAAATATTACTATTCAAATAAAATATAGAGTATTATTGAAGTGATTTTAAAAGCTACTACATACGGAGTACGTAATACCCATACTACATACGGAATACACATCATGATACATACATGTATGACATACATACATACATCATTAATACTTACAATTAACGTATATGCATGAATATATATGCATAGCGGGCAACAAAAGTTTAATGCTTGACTAGGTGTATAGTAACGGACGTAGTACACATTACTTACACATACATTACATACATACAGATACGTAATACACTCATACATACATCGCATGGCATAAATGATATCTACATGATAACCATAACGCCCGGCCATCCATTATTGCTATAAATACACACTTAAAGCTTGACTAGTAACGGGCGACGGAGATTGGAAAACAAACCGGCACAGCTCGAAGCATATTAACGGATATATATGACCATCTACGAAATAATGAATGGCCCCAAAAACTGAGCTGCGAAAATATACATGCTACCTACGAAGTACTCCGTATTAAAAATACACGTACGTTCGTACGAACGAAGGGCAGAAACCAAACAAAACACAATTTGGTGTTTCATTACTCCCGCGGTGATGAAGTGAAGAGGGAGCTTCTCAGAGAAGTCTACACCATCGTATCTGGAGGAGTGAAGCCGGGGACAAAGGGAGCTGCCGGAGTGCCATTTGGGGGTGACGGAGGAAGGAGGAACCACGTTGATGTCTTCGCCGGGGTGAAGAGATCTTTGACCGATCCGCCGGACCAAGCTGCTGCCGTCGAGTAGCTGCGTTGCCGATGCCAGTTTACGAAGAGGACAACGAACACGTACGTGTACTCTGTATATATATATACTCCGTAATGTTAATTCAAACTTAGAGTATAATAGTTTATGGACTAATACGTATTAATAATTTATGGGCTATTATATAGATGGGAATTTTGTAAAGGGGACTAATACATACGTATAACAGTTTGTGAAATACTAGAATAATAAGGTGGGGAATTTATAAACAAAGGATAGAAGAAATAAACTATAATTGGATAAGATGTTGATATTAGAAATTGTAATATTCTTAGAAGGTGATTTTTGGAGAAGGTCGACATAGAAGTTTCGGTTGGGAGTTATCGTGATTTGAGGTAAGTTTCTCTGCCAATCCAAAAATCATTTCCTCGTATTATATATGTATTATGTGAAACGTGATTTTTAAGTGTGAAGTATGACTTTTATGCATGTGATTCTGAGATGATTCGTGAAACTAAGTGCTTTTGGGGGTAAATATTTTATCTAAATATTTTTCAAGCAGTTTGAGAAGTTGAGAAATATTTTGAAGTATATTAATTTAAGATAAAAGAATGATTTCATAAGAGGTGAGCATCACGAGAGAAATCAGTGGTGTCGGTTTTCCACGTTCGGATAAATGTGGAGGGTGATTAGGTCTGCTACTACTAAGAAGTACAGTTTGAGTTTAAAGTGATATTTGGATCGATGATCCCTTTTAAGAAGAAGTTATGGTAGTAGTAGTCCCTAGTCATTCAAAATATCTTATTCAGGGGTAGTTGGTAGACTGAGTCCCGACTACTCGTTACGACTTACTACTCGGGGGGCTTGGAATCCCTTTTAGGGGGTGTGCACACTTAAGGTAGTCGTTTCATTTCCAACAGAGCAGTTGTGGTACCGGCACTTGTTCGGGGTGGCCGTCCGTAACCACGGTCCACCGGGCTCTACCGAAAGGTTGAGCACCGCCCTTCTAAATTACTAGGAAGTTAGAGAAGAAGTGATTTTTGAGGAAATCAAAGAGAAGAGTTATTATGAAGTTTTAAAGAGAAGTTGAGGATTTTTGTAAAGAAGTAGTTTTGAGAAAAATCAAAGTGAAAAGAATTTCGATGGTGTGAGTACTTTTATATATTATTATATAAAGATCTATTTTAGTCAAACATGATTATTTTACGGGGTTGGGTAGTACTTACTTAGCTCTAAAGCTAATTTTTGTTTTCTTTTCCTTGTTTTGTTTCTGCACTTTATTTGTGCAGGTGAGGATGATTTTGTCGATTGATGATTGCTTGCATGGCCCGAGAGTGAATTAGTAGTCGCCTTAGTGATACTAGTCATGAAATAAACATTTACTTTACAAACACTTTATTTTTATTAAATTAGTTGTTATGTTTTAGTTGCCTGTGCATCCGGTTGAGAGATGACCGGATGTGGCGGTAACACTCATTTCCCTTATTAAGACTTCCGCTGTACTTTCTTTATATTTTCATTATCAATAAATAAAAGTTTTATTTCAATTATATCAACGTTTTGGGTGGGAAATTTGGGGGTGTTACAAATTGGTATCAAAGCCTAAGGTTTTTTATGGGGATTTTTCAAAACGTTTTCCAAGGGTTTTTCTAGGAGAATTCTCAAAATATTTTTGAAAACATTCTTATAAAACTAGGAGATTAAAATGACTAGGGAGAGACCTGTTAGGAACGCGGTGAGAATATGATGCGAGATTTTTAAGTTATTGATTTATATGATTGAGTTGTGAAATTTATGTAGTTGCTTGCTTGTGTGAAATATATGAAGTTTGATGACATCATTGAATGTCTATATGTGTTAGAGCTTAGTATGGACCTAGTGAAGAACTTTGTGGTTCAAATAGCGTAGGGACTTTTTGAATGCCTTAGTATTTAAGAGACTTGTGAGAAAAGAAGTTAAGCGATTAAAATGGTGAAAGTGTTGTGGTCTAACCACTTGGCCGAAAATGCCACCTGGGAGACCGAGGAAGATATATGCAAACGCTACCCAGAGTATTTGATTAAGGTAAAATTTTAGTTACGAGGGCGTAACCTCTCTTTAAGGAGGGTGGAATGTAATACTTGAGAATTTTGTCATTTGACTTTAGTTTAAGCTTCGAGACTAAGCATCTCTTAAAGGGGGATAGAAAAAAAAAACAGTATTAATAAAATAGTTGTAGCTTATGCTTCGAGGACGAAGCATTCTTTAAGGGGGATAGAATGTAACACCCTAAAAAAATTAAAATAGAAATTTAATAATAAAACAACATAAAAGCAAATCAGATATAACCTATTTGATAAAAATGAATATTTTAAATGACTTTATCAGTACTCACGTTAAATAATATTCTGATAATTAAAGTACTTTTTATAAGTCTTAGACTTTGGGTATAGTAGAGTGTACAATTACGTGTACAAAGTTAAAAATATTACTATTCAAATAAAATATAGAGTATTATTGAAGTGATTTTAAAAGTTACTACATACGGAGTACGTAATACCCATACTACATATGGAATACACATCATGATACATACATGTATGACATACATACATACATCATTAATACTTACAAGTAACGTATATGCATGAATATATATGCATAGCGGGCAATAAAAGTTTAAAGCTTGACTAGATGTATAGTAACGGACGTAGTACACATTACTTACACATACATTACATACATACAGATACGTAATACACTCATACATACATCGCATGGCATAAATGATATCTACATGATAACCATAACGCCCGGCCATCCATTATTGCTATAAATACACACTTAAAGCTTGACTAGTAACGGGTGACGGAGATTGGAAAACAAACCGGCACAGCTCGAAGCATATTAACGGATATATATGACCATCTACGAAATAATGAATGGCCCCAAAAACTGAGCTGCGAAAATATACCTGCTACCTACGAAGTACTCCGTATTAAAAATACACGTACGTTCGTACGAACGAAGGGCAGAAACCAAACGAAACACAATTTGGTGTTTCATTACTCCCGTGGTGATGAAGTGAAGAGGGAGCTTCTCGGAGAAGTCTACACCATCGTATCTGGAGGAGTGAAGCCGGGGACAAAGGGAGCTGCCGGAGTGCCATTTGGGGGTGACGGAGGAAGGAGGAACCACGTTGATGTCTTCGCCGGGGTGAAGAGATCTTTGACCGATCCGCCGGACCAAGCTGCTGCCGTCGAGTAGCTGCGTTGCCGATGCCAGTTTACGAAGAGGACAACGAACACGTACGTGTACTCTGTATATATATATACTCCGTAATGTTAATTCAAACTTAGAGTATAATAGTTTATGGACTAATACGTATTAATAATTTATGGGCTATTATATAGATGGGAATTTTGTAAAGGGGACTAATACATACGTATAACAGTTTGTGAAATACTAGAATAATAAGGTGGGGAATTTATAAACAAAGGATAGAAGAAATAAACTATAATTGGATAAGATGTTGATATTAGAAATTGTAATATTCTTAGAAGGTGATTTTTGGAGAAGGTCGACATAGAAGTTTCGGTTGGGAGTTATCGTGATTTGAGGTAAGTTTCTCTGCCAATCCAAAAATCGTTTCCTCGTATTATATATGTATTATGTGATACGTGATTTTTAAGTGTGAAGTATGACTTTTATGCATGTAATTCTGAGATGATTCGTGAAACTAAGTGCTTTTGGGGGTAAATATTTTATCTAAATATTTTTAAAGCAGTTTGAGAAGTTGAGAAATATTTTGAAGTATATTAATTTAAGATAAAAGAATGATTTCATAAGAGGTGAGCATCACGGGAGAAATCCGTGGTGTCGGTTTTCCACGTCCGGATAAATGTGGAGGTTGATTAGGTCTGCTACTACTAAGAATTACAGTTTTAGTTTAAAGTTATATTTGGATCGATGATCCCTTTTAAGAATAAGTTATGGTAGTAGTAGTCCCTAGT